ATATTATTGAGTATACCAATAAACCAGTAAACTACATAACAGTTCCACCATTCATGATTACTATAATTCTGCAGTCTTATTCAGAGCCTAGCACCTGACGATTGAGGAAGTACCTCATGAAATAGCTTGTAGTGCAATCAAATGTTGAATTTGTATTTGTAACCAAGTCATCTTGTTTTGATTTTATATAATGTATATACGTGTGTGTGTATATATATATAGCATATAAATCAAGATAGCCATTAACACTGTCAAATTACATATAAATCATCAAAGAAAGGTAAATACAGTGTTCGAAGTGTCACTGTATTTACCTTTCTTTGTTGATTTATATATAAACAAGTAACATAGATAATAACATTGTTAGTCAAGCTAGATTCTAGCTTAACTATAGTTGTAACTTGTGTGTATCACTTCCTCCTAAACACTCCCAATTTTCCGGTTGACTTGATGCTTCCAAATCCAGGGTCCAGCAAACACCAGGATTGTATCTCAACTAAAAACACCTACAATTCCTAAGCTTCAAATTTGAGTTTAGAAGAATAAGTGTTTATTTAATTTGTTATGAATCACTGTTACAGTAAATAATGATTTATTAAATTGGTAATTAATATTCATAAAATGTAACATTTATTGTAATTTTAGATTATTTTACAATGTGGCGGATTTAGGTCGAGGGAATGAGATGGCCTGGGGAACGCCCCCTAAATTTTTCAAAATTATGAAGGGAAAAAAAATGGAGGAAAAAAAAGAAAATTATAATTAAATTTAGGTCTCAGAGTGCCATTTCCGGCCATCTAGAAGAGCCATAATCATAATTTTTTTTACCTCCGGCCCCCCCCCTCAACCATGGTAGGCCTGAGGTGGACTAAACCCTCCGTCAGTGAGTCTCTCCCTGGTCCACCACTATTTCAAATCCCTGGATCTGCCACTGTTAAATGTCATAAAAGAAACTTATTGAATGCACCCCACTTTCCTTTTCTCAGTAATTCCATGACCATCTGTTATTATTATTATTATATAAATTTAATATTACAAAATATTGTATAGAAACATGAAACAAGCATTTCTCCAATCCTGGACCTGTCAATTAACTTTTTGGGAAATACATAAATTTGTCACAAAAATAATTTTGTCACTGTTCTGTTTTGCATATCCACAGCTTCCACTGATAGTGATCGAGAGAGTGAAAGCAGTGGAAGAGGTTTAAGCCAACCTTTGAGCCCGACCAAACGCCAGAAACGCACACCACCACAGGTATTCAAAAGCAACCGTATCAATGGACCTTTCATATTTCTTAGGGAGGGGCTGGTGGGAAAGAATTTACTTTACACTCATATAAAAGTACTTTGATGGTGAAGTAAAATTAATGACTGTATTTATTTTGATAATTGTTCTACTAATTTATGTTTTCATCCAAATAAAATTGATTGAACTCTTTCTTTTAAAGACACTTTCATCAGTGACGCCGCCAAATCCGAAAGAAGAAAACATCATCATCTGCAACCCATTTGATGATAGCCCGTTGCCAAACTTCTCCCAATTCCCTAAGATGAATCCACAGCGACTGGGCCCATACACTAACATTAACTCGTTCCAGCAACCTTCTCAACAACCAAACTACCCCAGAGTGGATAATGGTTCTCTACAATCTGTCATGTACCATCCTAACATGACGCGCCAATCATCGTACCCTTGTGGGATTTGTCAGTCGGAGGTACACGACAGCGATACCGCAATCATGTGCGAAGGGGGCTGTGAGTATTGGTTTCACAGAGTTTGCACAGGCCTAACCGAAACTGCTTTTAACCTGTTACGCAAGGAAGAGCTGGCTGTCTGGTGTTGTGATAACTGCATTCGGCAGAAGAAAATTCCAATGGTGATGCTGAAGAGCCAACCCGTATCGTAATCCAGTTTTTATTCAAAGCTATATTTTAACAACTGCAAAAAATTAGAAATTTTAAAGTTTCCTATTCATGTTTTTGTTGTGTTATCAATTATTGTAATTACTATGCCCCAATTACTAAGAATCTTAAATGTAATTAAATATTTGTAATGTCAGACCTGATGCCTCGTTAGGAGAAAGAGCAATATCATGATGGTAAACACAGTATCTGCAAGTACCTGGTAAACCTGCAGTTTTTAAATCCTGCAAACATCGACAGTAGCAATATTAGATGATAAAAAAGTATAACTTGAAATAAGAAATTTGATAAAATTCGACCATTTAAGGATCTGAGGGCACTAATTGAGTGGTTTTGGGGTGGGTG